TTGATTTAGTTGTATATACTGGTGGTGGAAATACATATGTATGGCAAACTTGGAGATTGATACACACTAGGTTTGAAGAGCATATTCCACAATGTCTAATCTTAATAATATTATATTGAAGTTGGCTTGTAGTCCACTGAAATTAGTCTAAAAATGCCACTGTAAGTTATATGTGAAAGGGATATCCTGTAATGTTCAGAGAACATCGTGAGAACCAAGGGAAATTAAATTTCTGGAGGTTATATGCCTCGGGAAACACCTCCCTTGGCAATGTGTTCCAGAGCCTTGCTGTTCGTTGGATGAACGAGTCTTTGGAAAGAGATGTTCTGCAGGTCTCCAAAGTGATCACGAAGGGATGCGAAGCCTCAACTCGACGGGTAAATCTCGCGGGGACTGCCAAGGGAGAAACAATTGTTGAAGAGCATCGTCCATGAAAATATCTATAATATAGAGCCAGATCGACAAGTTTTCTACGGTGTTCCAGATAAGTGAGTGAGTTTGTAAGCGAGGCATCACCCACGAGACGAATTGCCCTTTTTGGACAGAATCCAACAGTTTCAGGGTATGTTTGGCTGATGCAATCCAAATATGGGAAGAGTATTCCAGACAGGTCGGATCTGTGCCTTATAGATCATAAGCAGCTGACTGGAAGTGAAATAGCTCCTGGCCCGAAACAGAAAACCAAGTCTTTGGGATGTACTTTTAGCAATTCATCTCACGTGATTTTTCCAAGAAAGATTATTGCTGATAGTAATACCAAGCATCGAAATGGATGCCTTCAAGGGTATAGTTACTTCTGACAAGCCTATGTTGGGCACAGTGAGATCGGATTTTCTAGAGAAAAGGCATGCCTGTGTTTTGTTTGCATTAAAATCAACCAAGTTATTGGATCCCTATTCGAGAATTGTTGCCAAGTCCATATTTTTGTTTTCAACATGTCTTCCTCGTTCGTTTCTGATTTGCCTGGCTGGTATTGGAGCCCTAGAAAAGAAGGCGGTATGGAGGGTACTATCATCCGCGAAGCTGTGTATTGGACATGCAGTTGCTTCCAACAAATCGTTGATATGGAGTAGAAATAGTGTTGGTGCTAAAATTGATTCTTGCGGAACACCAGCATTTATGATAAGAGACACTTCATAAATGATGTAAACCCAGTTTTGGGGGAGCTGTTGAGGGGTCCATACTATTATTGGCCCAAATTTTATGTTCAAAAAGAGAAACTATGACTTTGAATAGCTTGATGTTGTGGGCCATAAAAATGTAAGAATTCGGTCTCTTGCATTTTTTTTCATACAACTAACGGTTTGCCAGAAAATCTAAATCAACGAGAGGGAAGTCACGACAGTTTTCGAAGACAATGGGTTAAAAACCTTTGAAAACGCTTGCATACGGAGGTGATCTTATATCGGAACGCATTCGAGACTGCAATTACAGAGGTGTATATAGGTGTATACAGGGTGTATCTGAATAACACCGAAAACATTTTAGGGGCGATTCTTTGTGATATTTTAGGAAATAAAGTTCAAATGAACATGTGTCCCAACTTGCTTCGTTTTCGAGATACAGAGTATCAATATGTCGATGAAAAATCGTTTTTTTATTTATTACTCAATTGTCTTTCCATCAATGTCAATAAAACGTTGTGATTTTGTTAATTGTAATATGGAGCTTCTTCTGGTGCAATTAGATTTGAAATAATATTTGCAGTGGGTAAATTTATCGATATTTATGGTGAATGTCATTGTACGCCACGAGTTTTTCTGAGTTCCATATTTTTATTAGATTGAACTATGGAAATAATAACTTTTTCATCCTTTGTGTGATTTCAGTATCTAGCTTATTTTTTGTGGAAACAATAAGAATTCGATTTGACTCCATACTTTACTGTAGGTGTTTTCAAGACTTCCATTGAGATTACTCAATAACGCCAAATTTTAGGGCTTCCTCAGTCTCCAACCATACTGAATTTTGGCACCATGAAAGCTTATACAGGGAGGTTATAAATAAACACCGTAGAAAGGTCGGCGACCTTTCACTTTTCTATCGATACTTCCACGGGAAATGTTCTTCTGAAATCTCTGCTATCATCCCTTCACTAGCAATACCAGTCAGACGAACTAGACAAGCCCAGACAGCACATCCTTTCGTTGTCAACCTCGGAAGATGTCGAACAACACTTTATCAAAACTCCTTCATCCATAGAACGGCTAGGCTCTGGAATTCATTGCCTGAGGAAGTATTCCCAACAACATATAATCTCCAGAAGTTCAAACAAAATTCCAATACCTACCTCCTATCCCTATCCTCCCTAGGAACGCACGATGTTCTTTGAACACTGTGGGGATTTCCTTTCGTGCTCTCCAATCGATAAAAAAAAAACTTCAACATCCTGTATCTCAAAAACGGATCAAGTTAGGATACATGTTTATATGAACTTTATTCGCTAAAATATCACAAGGAATCACCCCTTGAATTTTTTCATGTTCATAATATGTCTGAGAATATTCCATTTCAATGATCTCTCCGATTTTGCAATGAATGCAATCTAGCTGTGCAACCTTAATTAAATCTAGATTATGTTTACTCCAATGTTGGGGCTCAAAATGAGTTTCCATGCAGCACTAAAGAAAACCCACAGAAACTTTCTGAGACGATATTCCTTATTCTATGTGTACCCACTCCGCTGGGGTTCGCTTGCAGGAAGTAATATAAGAATCCACGTTCGACGCCTCTTTCAAATTAAATATAGATTAGTTGCTAACTTACCACTCTTCCAATTCGATTTCTTGCTGAAAGCGCCTCATTCATAGTACTTTATTGAAAATTCCTCGCTGAAAAGCTAGTGAATGTTTCGATATAGCGGGTGACCCAGGTTATCGGGCCACCTCTGTAATTTCTGCATTCGTGAACGGATCTTTATAAAATTGACGTATATGGGTCTCCATCCATACATTTCCATACTGACTTTTGGCACCATGAAAGCTTATACAGGGGGGCCATAAATAAAAACAATTAATACTTTCAACTTCAACATCACCAAGTTAGGACATATCTTTATATGAACTATATTTGCTAGAATATCACAAGTGAATACCCCTTGAAATTTTTCGATGTTATTTAGATACACCCTGTATAATGCCAAACAAGACTAGAATAGTTGATGGAATGAACAATGGGCAGGTTGTGGAGATGAGTGTGTGATCAGAATTGCCAAGTGGATCTCCGAATCCTTATTTCATTTTATCAGGAAAATGAGATTGTTTTCAATCAAAATCAAAGCTTTCAATCGAATTCAGTAAAACGAATGAACTCTCGTTGCACACTCAGATATTTAAAAATGTACAAGCATCCTGTTTCCATTGTTCTGATGGAATATTCAGTTATTTTTTCTCTAGCATTGTATTTTCTTTCGTTCTTCGTTTTTTCAACAAATCCAATTAGAACATCAGCGAGATATTGATACACAATGCTTTTATATAAAAAATGGAATGAATCACATATTGATTCGAATCTGGATGATAGGAGCTGAATTGAATATTAGCGATTTGAAGAAAATACGATTATGAGGAATAAGGAAAAGCCGGTAAAAAGGCTGAAAGTATTATTAATTTCCTTTCAAGACCGTAATGAGATATTTCCCCATTTGTATTCCATTTATATTCTACAAAACGAATAAACCTTCTTCAAACAGAATCCTTCACATATTACTGAATATTTCCTGATATTGGATATTCTTGTTTGCCAATCTCTTTTTACAGAAACATAAAATGTGCATTTATATCGAATGTGTATAGCACGGTTCTCATTTGTATCGAATTAAACTACTCAACACTAATTTCGTCGCACACCAAAATGTCGCCCCTGTTATAATGTGAATAACTTTTTTCAGTTTAGAACAATTTGAATTTGGTTCACACTGTTCGATAGCCCAGTCCTTCAGCTATAATCTGGTACTTCATTGAAACATAAGGGTATTCACATAAAATCTCTACATGGTGTTTTCCGACACTGTGCAAAATTTCGGAATATTCAAAAAGCTCTCAAATGGTGAAAAAAATGTTTTTCTCAACTTCGACAACAACGTTGTTTGCTTGAATACTTCTCCATATTCTTAAATCGCATGTTATGTACGTGACAACTGTTGAAAAAATCACTTTATTGAAAAAATCAAAATCCGTTGCTCTTGTTGGTACACCATTTATGATGAGCCTCAGCTGGTCGGGTTTGTCAGTCACTCATTGTGATTCTTGTAACGTTGGTTACGGCGGGCCATGCATTACAGAGGAGAAATGATCTAATGTTTCTGCAAGAACATGTTTCAATTGTGTTTTCTCACGCACAATTCTTGACTACTGAGAGCGAGGAAAATATGGACGCATCCAGAATGAATTGTTTTTCCGAGAACAAGTTGATTTTCATTCAATTCTCCTCCCAACCGAGATTCGAAGGGCGTTCCAGATTTGGGTCACTTTCAAGAAAACTCTAGATCTTTGATAGCCATCTTGAGTCAATTCTGATATTCAGATCTCTTCATCTGAAGTTTCATCTTCAAAATGAGCCTAAGATTTCCAAAATCGGTTGACGTGGAAAAAAAGTTATGGCTGCAAAACCAAAAAGTTGATTTTTTGAGATCACTCTGTAAATAAGAGAGATAGGAAGTTGATTCGCGAAATATCTCGAGGTAATGAGATCATCTTCATGCCTCTGTTGTCGAAGTTGAGAGAAACATTTTTTTCACCATTTGAGAGCCTTTTGAATATTCCGAAATTTCGCACAGTGTCGGAAAACACCATGTAGAGATTTTATGTGAATACCCTTATGTTTCAATGAAGTACCAGTTGATAGCTGAAGGACTGGGCTATCGAACAGTGTGAACCAAATTCAAATTGTTCTAAACTGAAAAAAGTTATTCACATTATAACAGGGGCGACATTTTGGTGTGCGACGAAATTAGTGTTGAGTAGTTTATTTCAATATTCATATTGTTTTATTTGTTACAGATCTGCTTATGATACAGTAACGAAAACCAAAGTGGCAATTAAGAAGATATCTCCCTTTGAACATCAGACCTACTGTCAAAGGACCCTCAGAGAAATCAAAATACTAACCAGGTTCAAACATGAAAATGTGAGCAAATATTCTTCCTGTTTTACTTGTTCTAAAGTTATGAAAATGTCTTGTAGGATATGAATTCAACTTATGTGAAGTTGGCACCGACTTTTTTGAAAAACTGAATTTTTATCGGAGTTCTGGCTAGATACGATAGAGTTCTGGAGTTCCTAACAAAAAAATTCAATAGTTCTGGTTAATTGTAGAAAATAACCGAAAAACAAAATTGTGGGTGCTAACATCACGCGGCGCCGCTTTTTTCACAGAAAAGAGTTGTGATGAGAAATTTCGATGTATTTGAAAGAGTTCTGGAGTTCCTGATATATTTCAACGATAGTTCCGGCGAAAACACAAAGTTATTCCTATTTTTAATAGGGACATTCATACGCTCATGTAGCATCTACCACTTTCTAAAGTTCGGATCGGAGTTCTGGGTAGCACCAGTCGAGTTCCACATACTATCTAGGTAACTTTTTTCTCTTAAACTTTGGTTTTCATGAGCGAAAACATGGGACCGACTGAAAAAAAAAGTTTCGTGAAAAATTTGGAAAGGAGAGTCAATAGAGGAGTTCTGAACGGAGTTCTGGGTAGCACCAGTCGAGTTCTACATACTATCTTGATAATTTTTTTCTCTAAAATCAAAACTTTCCGCTTATAAAAACTAGAGTTTCGATTTTAGAGAAAAAATTTATCAAGATAGTATGTAGAACTCGACTGGTGCTACCCAGAACTCGGCTTCGCTAAACGCTCCGCCTCGCAAATGCAAAATTCGCTTGTCAAACAAAGTGTCACTTTTGATCCTAATAAAACAATCTACTATTTTCAGTCGGTGCCATGTTTTCGCTCATGAGAACCAAAGTTTCGATTTGAGAGAAAAAAGTTACCTAGATAGTATGTGGAACTCGACTGGTGCTACCCAGAACTCCGATCAGAACATTAAAAAGTGGTGGATGCTACATTAGCGAATGAATGTCCCTATTAAAAATAGGAATAACTTTGTTATTTCGCCGGAACTATCGTTGAAATATATCAGGAACTCCAGAACTCTTTCAAATACGTCGAAATTTCTCATCAGAACTCTTTTCTTGGAAAAAAGTTAGCACCCACAATTTTGTTTTTCGGTTATTTTCTATAATTAACCAGAACTATTGGACTTTTTTGCCAGGAACTCCAGAACTCTATCGTATCTACCCAGAACTCCGATAAAAATTCAGTTTTTCAAAAAAGTCGGTGCCAACTTCACATAAGTATGAATTCAAAACGTTTGGTTTATTGAGATTTTTTTTTCAGATAATCGATATTAGAGATATACTTCGAGCAGTGACGATAGACCAAATGAAGGATGTGTATATCGTACAATGTTTGATGGAGACTGACCTTTACAAACTTCTCAAAACACAGGTGAATATTGAAATTTCCCAGATAGAGCTTTAATGACTCATTCACTCAAAACCTTCATAAACAATATTTAGGGATTAACAGATAGGAAGAGTTTTTGTCAACCAACCACTGATATTTCCCTCATTTCATTTTTTCATAATCAGTTTAGTGCAGGTCCCTAGAATCTATCAGGGCGATATCCAACAAGAATTTAATCTGACGTTGATTGGCTCACATAAATTAATAATTACCGAGACCCTGATGAATATTGATATCCATAGTTTCATAACTCTATTGGTTTCTGTATTACGGTTATAATAATAGAATGGGGGAGAGTACTGATTTAAAAACAATGAACTCAATATGAACACCTGGAAGGGATCCTCTGTGAACGACGAGTGTGGCAAAAATATTGTTCAGGCAACCCGAATCGCAAGGAAAGCGCTTGCATTATTTGGAATAATTTCTTGTTTTTTTGCTTTTATTTAAGAGTATCTCTAATTAAATATGAATAATGATTAAGGAAAGAGGATAATTATGCAATCAATTATTATTTGAAAATAATTATTGATTTTTTTATTGACTCAAAAGTGAAATTCCATTTTTATTCTTACAGGATTTGGAAGGCAAATGAATAAAAAAATGAAATTATATATTCTCATTCAAATGTCATAATATATTGAACAGGGTGAGCGGAGCTCAATGTCTCAGCACTGTCAGAAGAGATAGAAAAACGATGGTAAAAATGTAAAAGAGGTTCTTGAATGGTATCGAGTACCTACCTAAGGTCTATTTGAAGCCTAATTTTCAAGAGTACCTATTTTTCTATAAACATTTCACTATTAGAAGGTAATTTGGAGGTGAATAGAAAGTGAATAAAAGTACAATGTTAGGACGAATTTTTTCATTAAAGATGAATATCTGCGTGGCCCAGAATGTACACCTTCATTTTTTCGTTTCTGGAGAAGAAGCTCCAAAAGCAAATCTTCACAAATTGTACATTAAATATAAATCATGATTCATCGATTGAACGAGGTTTGGACAGATTTCATCCCTCAGTATGGTCTTCCCCATTCACCTCATATATTTTGTAACATATCTACATGACTTTATTGAATGGGCTAGTAGACTGATGATGAATTATTCAATCACTCCATTGTGACGTTAGGAACCTGAATTCATTTTTGCAACACTTAACATGCTTTTTTATGTAAATAATAAGTCTGTGTTCTTCAAAATCGTTAAATTTCAGAGTTCATTTCAAACGTAACGTCATGGCGGCCATTTGGCGATACGTCGAATAAATAGTGATGTCAGGTTTTAGGCTGTTTTGTTATTGGTCAGATAATCTTCCATTTCCACTCATGAAGGAAGGTTGTCAAGTCACCAATTATAACCAAGTTATCAAAGAGACGTTGGAGTCCTATCGTTGAATAAAACATAATTGGAGGAACTCATGACATTATAGTTCATTCTTGACTTTATCGAGCAACCAGCATGTCCAAATATTTCTCATTCTCCATAACAAAATATCATGTGAATGTTGGAGACTTGGCAACATTGTGCTGAATGCTGAGAACTGACAAGACCACGCCCACAAGTCGTGCGCGGGGTTGTCACGTTCACCGATTCAAATGTCCTCTAGTGTGAATTAATATAATTAATATTTACACAAATTTATTGTAAGCTATAAGCCACAAACCATGATGGAACATTTTGAAACAATCAAATTTTTATTGCTAATTAGGAATATTACCAATACTCAATTGAGAATTTATGAATTATTGAAAAACTGATATTTCTGGAGTTCCCAATCGTATGTCAGTTTTTACTGCCGGTAAATTTCGAGCCGTTTGAAAATTACCGTGGTATTATTGATGTTTTTAGCACCTGAAAATTGACCTAAACATCCTAAAAAATATAAAATTGAGAGGTATTTGAGTGATGATTCTATTTAAGCAATATAAAAAAAAATTAGTCCAATCGCTTATTACGCTATTGAAGGTGGTAGGCTGATGGATGAATGATGAAATGATTACTGATTAACTATTTTTTATTTGCAGAGACTGAGTAACGATCACATTTGTTACTTCCTTTACCAGATTCTTCGGGGTTTGAAGTACATACATTCGGCAAACGTACTTCACAGAGACTTGAAACCAAGCAATCTCTTACTGAATACTACCTGCGATCTCAAGGTAAGTAGACCAAGGGGGCCCGAATCTTGAATCTGTAGGAATAATCCAATCGCCACTTTCTTGACATCTATCTCCTACTGTCTGACAGTCTGCCATCCCACCGCTATCTTTTTACGATCTCATTTTTACGTATACCCTTCTTATCTCTCCCTTCTTCTTATATGAAATGCATCCCAGTACCATACTCATCATATAAAAGGCACCACATAGTTTCCCATACAATAGTTCAAGAATATATCATCTCAAATTTCCATAGGAAAATCGAGTTTTTCCCATGGGAGCGAATTCCAAGGAATTCGAGAATCGGGTCTCAGGAAGAAATTCCTGGCCACATATAGAGTTTGCAATTTTTTTTCAGATATGTGATTTTGGTTTAGCCAGAGTGGCTGACCCTGATCACGATCATACAGGGTTCCTCACAGAGTACGTGGCAACAAGATGGTACAGGGCACCGGAAATTATGTTGAATTCCAAGGTAGGTAAATAGAATGAGGCAGATACTAATTAAAGCGTTTTAATCACAAGGGGTGATTCAAAATCCGATATAAATATTTCGGGGACATATTGTTTGGATCAAAATTAGACTTTTTCTCATACAAGGTGAATCAAAAGTGAGCGGCATCCTTCCAGGGGCGTATTCCTTGCATGAAAATAAGGCAAAAAGATGCTGTACCCCTTTGAATAGGACACCTCATAGACGATTATTTCTTTATAACTTTGAAATTCTTCACAATAAATTTTCGAAAATTGGTGTACGGCATGAACATTTGATGGTAAATGAGATGGTAAATCTGCTCATTTGATTGCCAACTTCACCAATTGTCACTGTGAAGTAAAAAGTGTCAAGCAAATACGTATTTTCTATTCAAATATCCATTTTTCATGTTGAAAACGGGAGCAGATTCGTTCCCGAAACGTCCAAAGTGAAAATTTGATATTTTTTCTATATTCTCTTATTTCTCTTCTCCAAACCTTTTTCAATACAAATTTCCACTGACAAACTAGTGAATTTTTCTTTAAGGCTCTTCGATAGGAAAATTCTTTAAACGCAGTGACAATGGGTTTATATCACAAAAAATTTTCATTCCATAATTCGATAGAACTCACCCAAACTAGCTCACCACCGCAAACCGTTTCTTGCTGTGAGCTCCCTGCGTTTTATAAAATATTATTGAAATCCCCGATTTTTCGGACCTCTGAAAACGAGGCGATGATGTGACGTCAAAGCCCTAATACTGAAACAAGACTATCCCAGACAGAGATGAATGATACATGATTTCTGACATAGTGAATTAGCGCGAGATCACAGTTGAAAGAATCAATATATTGTACGGGTTAGGGTTGTTCCACAAATAAGGCAAATGCAAAGGTCCGTTGGACAGTTTATTCTCAGCATACACCAATCTAAAATTGCGTAATCACATCAGTCCCGGCACATTACCTAACCGATCTCAAACCAGCTTTAAATATCAGTCTCCAGAAAGGAATAGTAAAAGAAGAGAGACTCCTATACATAATAATAGTGACTTACCTAAAACCAGGCACCCTGGCTCATAGTAGCACGCTATTATTTAACAGTTACACCCAAAGGCTTTTAGATTGCTTAATGCGCATCAAAATGGCTTCTTACAGCCTTATACGAAGTCCAAGTTTCAGCAGCAAGATCTTCGAGTTTGCAGGACAAGACGGCGCAAGAACCTACTGCGACTATCAATAATATTGAAATCTTACTCTCCGCGACACCTGAAGGAGAGTCAAACAAGGTAGGTAAGGATACCGACTGATAGAAATCTAACGCGATACTTGATTAGCTGGACAGGTATCTGTAAGTTAGTGATTTCCGATCGAGGTATTTTGGTACAATATCAGTTGCCTGAGTCTCCGTTGGGCGTTTGGTATTTTCTTTCAACTATGGTGAGATGAGGTTGCTACGTCATAAGAGGGTCCGTTTTCAGAAGGTACTATTATTTATGTCGAAAAATAAAACATTCCAGTTAAATTTTCCATCGAATTATGTTGTCAATCATTATTTATGTAAAAAAGGATCATTATAAACATGCTTTGAGTTAAAAGTTCTACCAAGGTGTACACGCCCATTAGGGGCAAATCATCTGATTCGTATGTTGAAGTAATATTCATATTTTTATTTAATAGAAACGAGGAGAGAAAATCCCAGAAAATCTGGAATAATGAATGTACCACCTTCTCCATTAACCTACGGACAGTATCCAATAATATGTGCTTTAAATATTTACATCGAATTTTGAATCACCCTGTATAAACAACCCGAATTTCTTCCGACTTCTGAATCATTTATCGGCAAATTTCTGCAGGGTTACACAAAATCGATAGACATATGGTCTGTCGGCTGTATTTTGGCTGAAATGTTGGCCAACAGGCCCATATTTCCCGGCAAACACTATTTAGATCAGCTCAACCATATACTGGGCGTGCTGGGGTCCCCTTCACAAGAAGATCTCGACTGCATCATCAACGAAAAGGTGAGTGATGTTCGGTCGCGTCTGCTGAGAAAAGTAATAAAACTTTCGCAGTTAAATTGGGAACTTGAATAGGGAATGTAGCTTTACTCCAGCTTTCCTCATGCACAAAGTTTGATTGAGATAATTTATCGAAATGTCGGAAAATGTGTTTCAAGCTCACACTAATGGCTAAATATCATCAGACGAAGTACATGGATGTCGAATCTGAGACATACCTCAATGATATTTTCATCGTCCGTAACTGGATTGCTTCATTTTAATCGGAATACATTCAAATCTGAAAATAAATATCATTAGATGAAGTACATGGATGTTGAATCTTCGAATAGTGGTTCTTCCAGTAGGCATCTTTCACATTTTCAATTACGTGGGTTATATTGAGGACCTTGAAGGCCAAACAATATGCTGCTCGGATCTGAAACTAAGTATCAATTTCAAATTTGAATCATGAGACCTACATACAATATAAATCTATGAAAAGTCTGTATATTGATTTTAACATCCGTAACTGGAACGCGATATATTTTTGTAATTTATCAATTCATCAACTATCTCAATGAAGACGAGGCAGGCAAATAAACAACAATTTTCTCTGCAATGAAGAACACTGTATATACCTAACCCACCATGCGTCTACCTCCTTTGCAGAGAGGGTTTATGAACGCCGAGTTGATACTCTCCCCTCGTAAGGGTACCTGTCGTGTTTCCATAGAGACATAAAGCTGAATATCTGTCTATCTGTCTGCTTGAGAATCTGGAAAGGTAATCAATATATCGCCTTCCGTACGAATATAATGATCTGAAGTCTGTAAAGTATACTCTGGTCAGTTCTCCTTGCGGATCTTCTGTTCGGTCCGTATTTACTGGATGGTTTTCTCCGATTGAGTGGCAAGTATCAAACACTGCTTCTTGGATCTGCAACTGAACATCACATTTAAATCAAAGTACATTTGTATAAGAAAATATCATCAGAAGAAATATATAGATGTTGAATCTGAGACATACCTGAATAATATTTTCAACGTCCGTAACTAGATTGCTACATATCCACTTTCTTTCTGTATAGTGGTGATTCCAGTAGGCATCTTCCATATGTTCAATTACGTGGGTTATATCAAGGACCTTGAAGGCCAAACAATTTGCTGCTCAGATCTAAAACTAAGTATCAATTTCAAATTTGAATCGTGAGACCAACATAGAAAATGAAACTATGAAAAGTCTTTATATTGTTTTCAACATTCATAACTGGAAGGCGATATATTTTTGTAATTCATCAACTATCTCAATGAAGACGAGGCAGGCAAATAAACAACAATTTTCTCTGCAATGAAGAACACTGTATATACCTAACCCACTATGCGTCTACCTCCTTTGCAGAGAGGGTTTATAAACGCCGAGTTGATACTCTCCCCTCGTAAGGGTACCTGTCGTGTTTCCATAGAGACATAAAGGTGAATATCTGTCTATCTGTCTGCTTGAGAATCTGGAAAGGTAATCAATATATCGCCTTCCGTACGAATATAATGATCTGAATTCTGTAAAGTATACTCTGGTCAGTTCTCCTTGCGGATCTTCTGTTCGGTCCGTATTTACTGGATGGTTTTCTCCGATTGAGTGGCAAGTATCAAACACTGCTTCTTGGATCTGCAACTAAACATCACATTTGAATCGAAGTACATTTGAATCAGAAAATTAATATCATCAGATGAAGTACATGAATGTTTAATCTGAGACATACCTGAATGATATTTTCATCGTCCGTAACTGCGTTGCTACATATCCGCTTTCTTTCCGAATAGTGGTTTTTCCAGTATGCATCGAACCATTTCCATTATCAAGAAATAATTTACCACAGTGACATACAGGCAAACAATTTTCGTTTCAAAAATATTGGTCACATGTAGTGAAAATAAATCGAAGGAGCTGCTACTCTGAGATTTCTAGATGTATCGAGTGGTATCGGCTCAAAATACCTATCAGATTATACTATCAATCATAATAAAAAAATCAAAGAAAAACTCATCAGTGTGAAAAAAGTGAAGAATGCTTTCTGCAATTCAATTGTTTGAAATTTTCGATTTTCCACAGTAGGAAACACCTAATTCAGCTCTAATTTAGTTGAAATTTGAGGACTGGTTAGTTTTTTTAAATAAAATTGGATTTTGAATCACGAGTTCAATAAAAATTCTATTCTTCGAATTGGATGCGCATTGTTGAAAAGTAGACCAATTCATTGAGTTTTCCTGCTCCTTGCAGATATCAGAACATATCCACAAAATTCTAATATAGGGAGTGTTGTTATTGAGAAAGAAGAAGTTTTCTGTTTTGCCTGAAGACGGATCTAGATTCTAAATTCGATTCCTATTTAGTTTTGATGAGTGATATGAGTTGAATATACCTACCAAGTATGAATCGATTATACACAGTGGTTCAAAAGTTATGACCTGACCATCGATAAAGATTTTGCCAAAATCAAGATTACGTTCTGTATCACAGTTATTGAAGATGGTAAATTCTTAAAAAATACAGTCTCGAACAGAAAACACGAAAATCAGACGAAAGTATTCCTTGATCGAAAAAAATACAACAAACGGTACGAAACATACATGGTATGTCACGTCAAGCTTACACTATCTCTATATCGAGAATCAGTCGGAGAAATCCATGAAAATATGCATGTGATCAGAATTCTGAATCTTGAACCACCCTGTATCTGTTCCGATTAAATATCAGTAAATAGTGAAACAAAACATGTAAACCATCCATTCTCAAAGTGGTCCGGTATTTTTCAACAGGAGAAAAAACGAATCCAAAGTCGGTCGACCACAATATTCAATATCAAAAATATAATCAGTGTGACTATAGTTTCAGCTCTACGGCCATCATCAGATACAATTAAAAAGTACCTAGAAAGTAACAAGTAGTACAGGTGTTGAACAAAATGGTAGCTGAGAAAGAGATAACATACCTGTTATGTGGAAAAACATGTTAACAATAAAAAAAATTCAGTAATAATCGGTTCGTTAGATAATGATCAGTCCAGCCTCACAATCAACAAACTTTGTTACGGTTGAAAAGCCAAAAGAACATTACAATAAGTGAGTTCAACATCAGGAAAAAGGAAATAATTGGAAATCTACTCAAATGAGCTTCATCTGACTGCAATCAAACCATCAAAGGAAAGACACAGACATGTAAAAATTGAAAGTGGTGATTTGACATTGACAATAAAATATTGATAATTTCAAACACAGAATGAAAAATGTTTTGAATGACAATCAATCATATGAGAAATGGAGCTCGACACCCAAAAGACACTTAATAATGAAAATTCGGGAAATTATATGAACATTCAATATTAATGTAAAAACATTTGGGTTGATGACAGAGACACACGCGGAACGGTAATAAGAACTGCCAATAAATATAGAAGAAGAAACTGTTTATGCTAAAATTGAGAAGAAGACGAACCAAACTTGTGTCAAGCTAATGAGTACATAACCGGCTCTAGCTCAGGAAATGCTGTAATGAAAATTAAGAGAAATGTAAAGTACGAAAAATATGATAACGATCAAAATTAGTCTATTTCTATTTCTAAAATCGCAAGGAGATAGGGACATGTGAAGCGTTTTGACCGATAATGAATAGTTTCGACACAAAAAAACCCTAAAGTTGAAAAATATCGATTTTGAACACCCTGTATCTCTGTAATCATTTTCAGAGATCAGCTCTTCAGGGAGAAACTTAAAATGCGATAAAATACAGGGTGTTCCGTTCGAAATATCAATGTTGCTACTGCTTTCTAGTAGAAGCGGCAATACTGCATTGTCGAACATATTTTAAATGAAAAGAGCGTATACCAAAATATGAGCATGCACATTTTCATGGAATTCTCCCGACTGATTCTCGATTTAAAAATAGTGTAAGCTCGTCGTGACATACCCTGTATAGGGTAATGAAGTTGAATGAATACAGGGAAATATGAGGAAAAATTAAGAGAATTTCTCTACACTCACCAGCGTGAAAAAAGTGAGGCTTTGATGAAACAACACGAAACACTAGAACAACACCACAAGATCCCGATATTATTATTATTATTGAATCGAATGAGGAATACAAAAACACTATTCACGAATCAATACGATCACTCAGTTTTTAGGGAACACTCAGTGTGGAACGATAAATAATTCCTTTCGCGTATTTTTCGATGTCGATCACAAAATTCGACCGTATGTGATGACATCTAATATAAAACTGTCTTGATTTACCACCTGGTCCCGAATGAATGACTAATAAGTTGAATCATACTGATAACCGATTAATATCCGAACAAATGATTTATCTATGACTAATGATGATAATAAAATTGAACGGAGGGGGAAGATATTTTGTATACAGGTGGTATTTTTTTTCGAAAATCACTCACGATATGGAAGAATTTTAAATAGGCTGAAAATATTTTTTTTGATGGAAAACAATCTCGATATATTATTTTAGGGTATTTCATCAGAGCCATATATTTCGAGATATATTTTGTCTATCAATGACTAGGAAGGCTCGTTGTTTACATACTCCTGTCAGGTGTACAAGTCTAACGAGAACAATTGAAGAGCGAGTCAGCCATATATCTCATGTTTAATGCATGCAGACTGTTCTTTATGACAGCTGTAGTTACATATTGTTCATAATTTTTTCATCGCGGCCCTACTGAATAATTCAAAGGCAATTTCGCAGTTCTAACCCTCATAATGGTCTAGCGAGTAAATATACCATGTATGCAGATGATACAGTACTTTTATATGAAGGCAAGAATCCTTCAAATTTAGAAAATATGATAAATGAAGACTTGAAAATATTTGAAAAATGGCTCCACTCTAACCTTTTATCGATAAATACTAATAACACAGAATATAATATGACTTTTCACCAAAAAAATGAAACAAAAAATTTACCTCAACCTCAAAATAAAAAATGAACTCTTGAAACAAACTGACCAGATAAAATATCTTGGTATTTGGTTTGATGACAGGTTGAAGTAGGACAAACATATTGATGTCTTGACAAAGAAAATATCTCCAATTTTTGGTGGTGCATTAAGATGTCCGAAACTTTATATTAAAATTGCAAACATATACTGAGTCGTATCAACTATTTGATAAATGTTTGTTGATCTTGTTCAAAAAATAATTTCAATATAATATCAACATTATATAGAAAATAGTTAAAAGTGTTGTATCGTCTCCCATTTGATACACCAACCCGTAAATAACAAATACGTATTCTTTATATGGAATATATAGAATTGAAACTGTTAAAATATCATATAATATCATAAATAATAAATTGAAGTCGAATATTATTTTGATACGCAATTCTGAAATTCATAATCATGAAACTAGACAATATAACTTGTTTCATCTTGACGCCGCTAGCTCCTTAATCGGACAAAAAAGATTCACTCATTCAGCCTCAACTGAATTCAATAAACTACCAGGTACATTCAAAAATGAAGTAAAAAAAACTATTTATTTCTGATATTATTCTTTGTTTGCCAATTTACAGTTGTTGAAATATTTTGAATGATGAAATGTTTACCTATAGGTTTATAATTATGTACTTCCTTATACCAGAGCCTATTTTATCTGGAAGTTATTTGTTCAATAAATAAATATATAAATAAATATTTTTTTATGCGTTGGCAGGCACGCAGCTACCTACAATCTCTACCGTACAAACCTAAAGTTCCTTGGGCCAAATTGTACCCGAATGCTGATCCCAAGGCTTTGGATCTGCTGGATAAAATGTTGACGTTCAATCCCCACAAGAGGATCGGCGTGGAAGACTCGTTGGCACATCCTTATCTTGAACAGTATTATGATCCTGCTGATGAAGTGAGTACATTGAAACTGAAGTTCGGTAAGCTCTTTTACAACTCACATTAATTGTTTTAATAATTTCTTCGTGGATAATCCCTATAGGTTGCGTGCAAGAACTGTCAGATGACCGATCCTGGAGGTGGAAGATTGAAACACAACCTCACTTTTCCTATTTGTTTACAAGTGGTTGAAACAATTATTTTGGCATACGAATCGTGTTTTTCGGCTATTCATTAATTTGCGCATACCATTACATTGTGCTGTTGTACAATGCACAAAATATGCAGCGAGAGACGAAGAAATCCGGTTAATACATTATGGTAAAACTGCATTTAACATGCGATGGGTGTTTTTTCGAAAAATTTTTTTGGTACTTACGTATTTTTGTCTGAAAAACACGAATTTGATAATGAGAATGTGAACTTCAGGAATGACTATATTTTATACGAGGGGCGCAAGAAAGGCTCACAAAATCGAACATCAATTTTTTCAAATGGAATACCCTGTATTTCATTGCATTTTCATATTCTCCTTGAAGAGCTGAATTCAACGACCTAGCACACTTGGGGTCTAGCGGGAATGATTTCCGAGATATAGGGTGTGGAAAATCGAGATTTTTCATTTTTGGGAATTTTTTGAGTCAAAACTATTCATTATTGGTCAAAACGGCTTACTAGTCCATATCTTAACTTTTGATTTACTGTTCACTCGTATTTAATTGAAACAAATACAGGGTGGTGTAGAATTCTGACTGAAACTGAGAATTTTGAGAATAATTCGAGTGGGCCAATTGAACAATAGTATTCTCATAATCAGATTCTATAGTGGGCAAATCTCCTACTATCCTTGGATTTCTTCTTCCTCTATCGTTTTTGTTATCTCAGATAATATCACATCATCCTCTGAAGAAAAACTATCATCAACACCAACATGACTTTCATTGTGTCAAAAATTCAAGTCAACTGGAGCGCGAAATTCAGATCCTGTCAACTCGTTTATAGAAAAGTGTTCTCGCACGAATCGTCATCTGTCAACTCAGTAGATGCGTTAATTGTAGGTCATATAGCTGCCTAATGTCCTATATGTAGGACGGCAACAATAAACCTGAGATATGAAAAACAAATATCATGAATGGTCGACAAAGATACGGCATATGAATCATTGAGACCACAAATTGGATTTGAACATGAAAATAAGAATGAAATAATAACTCACCAAGCAAAGCATACACTGTTATCTTCCATTTTCTGAAATGACCTTACTTCAAACCTGCTGTTGAGCTCAAATGGAGCAAGTCTGTGAACATTTTTGACATGTCCATAATCATTTGATGTGGAATGAATGCGTAGTTTTGCTACATATAGAAATATGACGCTAGTAGAGAAAAAAATAGAACGAGCATAGGTGAACTACATATAGGACATTAGGCATATCTAGGTTAAATTGACTTGAACTTGAAATTTGAAAAATCTGTTTATTTCAGCCTATTGCAGAAACGCCGTTCAAATTCGACACAGAATTGGATGATCTGCCAAAAGACCATTTAAAGAGGTTAATTTTTGAGGAGACACTTCTTTATAGACAGCGAATACATGTAGATCCCAACAACGCAAACAATAAGTCATAGTCATTTGAGATAAGTGTGTGAGAAGTTGATCCAAATTAGAGTTTGATATCGTTAAGTTTTCTTAAAAAGTATTTTACTTATATCTGGTGAAGGCAAAAGAGCTGTCGTTTTATGTAGATATATACAGGGTGTCCCTAGACCAGTGGGACAGTTGAATATCTCCTGAACCAATAGGAATTTCCAAAATATTATAATTTCACATCATATCGCATTATGAGTGCCAACTTCATGAATGACTATACTTTATACGAGGTGCGCAAGAAAGGCTCACAAAATCGAACATCGATTTTTTCAATTGGAACACCCTGTATTTCATTGCATTTTCATATTCTCCTTGAAGAGCTGAATTCACCGACCTAGCACACTTGGGGTCTAGCGGGAATGATTTCCGAGATATAGGGTGTGGAAAATCGATATTTTTCATTTTTGGGAATTTTTTGTGTCGGAACTATTAATTATTGAACAAAACGGCTCACATGTCCATATCCCAACTTTTGATTTACTATTCACTCGTATTTAATTGAAACAAATACAGGGTGGTGTAGAATTCTGACTGAAACTGTTAATTCTACACCACCCTGTATTTGTTTCAATTAAATACGAGTAAACAGTAAATCAAAAGTTAAGATATGGACATGTAAGCCGTTTTGACCAATAATGAATAGTTTCGACACAAAAAATTCCAAAAAATGAAAAATCTCGATTTTCCACACCCTATATCTCGGAAATCATTCTTGCTAGACCCCAAGTGTGCTACGTCGTTGAACTTAGCTCTTCTAGGAGAATATGAAAATGCAGTGGAATATAGGGCGTTCCATTTGAAAAAATTGATGTTCGATTTTGTGAGCCTTTCTTGCGCCCCTCGTATAAAATATAGTCATTCCTGAAGTTAGCACTCATAATGCGATATGATGTGAAATTATAATATTTTGAAAATTCCTATTGGTTCAGAAGATATTTAACTGTCCCACTGGTCTAGGGACACCCTGTATATTTGGTGGTGTTGCCCGAGTTTATTCGAAATTGTTCAGTATGTTTTATGTTCAGTCGTCATTTTATCGGAACTCTCAACTATTTATTAATATAGCATCTGAATGTTCTAAACCTTCTAATGTAATATATTCATTCATTGAATGTTATGATGTTATGGTGCAGTTTTGAAAGTCAATTTCGCATAGGATTTAAAAAACTTTCCAAACTGTATAAATTGGTCTTTCGGTAGATTTTATCACATTCCATCACTTTTACAGCATAGAGTTTCACCCTATCAAACTGAGAAAGTATATATTTATGTGCACCTCAACAAAAAAGCCAAAATACTAAGCCGACGTATGGAATATACCGGATGTCCAAGTTATCTTATGCAGGCAATTTCTCGATTATTTGACAAGATAATTTAAAAATACAAAAACTGCATTGAATGGCATTGAAGTACCTTCCTCATGACATATACACTAATCTATTACAATTGACAGTTCTCTGACAGCTATCCCCCACTTTTTATCTTCAAATGGCACCTCTTGTATATTGTCATTGAAAATTGCATGCCATCCTATAAGGAATACAACGATAGCATATACTTCGTATTTTTTTATAATTGTAACAAAAACAGCAACATTTGATGAAGGTTGACAGCAAGTGTTCAAAACTATTATGACATAAGAAGCATCGGCTTCTTGGAACAAAAAACATGAGCGGAGGCAATATTTCATTTTTATAAGAATATAATTGAGTAGTTTCAAAATGTTGATATTTCTGTTATCAATGAAAAAATACCAAGTATAAGCTTTCGTTGTATTCCAAATTGAGTGACACGTAATTTCCAATGAAAATATATATACAGGGGATGCCATTTGAAAATAAAATGCGAGGGGTAGCTGCCAGAGAACCAACAAATATAAAGGATTCTTTTATATGTCATTAGGAAGGTACTTCAATGCCATTCAATGAAGTTTTTGAATTTTTCAACTATCTTGTCAAATAAGCGAGATATTGCCCCTTAGGACACCCGGTATTATTAACACAATGTTTTGTCTCGAAGAAACTTGCATGAGAGTTTATCGGAATAGATTCTTGTCTCGTTAATTTTTTTCTTTCATCAATCTTCAGGGTTTCAACTTGGGATATTAGTGGTGATGAATTGCGTGAGAAGATCTCTTCAAATAGTATTTTTCGTCTTGATATGGTCTTGATGATGTATCTATCCATCAATACATGCCAACAACATTCTTTATATGAGTTGTAAGCCTGAAGTATATGTCTTCTTTTGTTCATTCATTCAATAGCAGAATCTTTCAGACGTAATTATACCCATTGAAAACGTAGTTTAGTGAACAATATCGAGGCTCCCGAAAATTTCCAGAGCACTGACTACTGCTTCAATCCGTCATACCCTAATTTTTAAAGCTATTAATTCTATTTTGTATGGTTTCTGAATTTTTATTGTTCCTGTCAATAATTTGCATGTGTTGTCTTGCCTTCATTATTTTTTGGATTTCTACCTTTAGGGAGCCTTATAAGTGGGCATATTATGAAAGTGATAAAATCTCGATGATGAGATTGATCTAACCACAATACCAAAGATTGCCTTTGGTTTACTCATCACTGTATTCATTTACATAGGTATGTACCTACTTTCATTACCTTCATTTCTAGTTCAGGATAATGTTTTAACTTATTATATACCTAAATGTTGTATTTTGTAAATATTATTTAAGGTTAATTTCTAAATCATATGTAATGAAATGCAGTGGAGTAGTAGTATGTATAGGGTATCACAAATGCAGATGTATATTTTTGAAATACCTATTCGTTTTTCTAAATGGTTATGAAAGTTTTTCTCAGTCAATATATTCACTGTCACTCAGTTATTTTCTATCATTCATTTGAGCCAACCCTTTTTCTATTATTTCTATTAGATGATTGCCAGATTTTTTTTCGATTAAAATAATTAAATTTAGTATTTAATGAAGTATGAAATGGTTTAGGGTGATCTTGCCCCCAAAAATATATCAGTGGAACAGCTTGATTGAATATTAAATATTAATTGAAGATATTATATCAATGAAATGAGAAGCACAAATAATATTGACGTGAATCGACAAATTTTTGGGGGATTGCTCAAGGTATTATTGATATTAGTTCGGGGGCTTTAATCTGTTATAATATTGACATTTTTTGTTGATAAAGTCAAGTCGCACATAATATATTACATATATACATACAAAGATATCAAAACTATTAAGGTTGTTATGAATTTAGCACTTTACAAAATAAGTGTTAAAAAGTGCAGAATTATTACGTTATTGTTATTACGTACATTTTAATATTTTTCCTGCATATGGTTTATTTTTTAATCGAACATCTACCTACATTTATTATCCAAACTTCTCAAAATCGTTACTTATACTTTATCAATTTTCCTTTTTGTATGTTGATTCTGAGAAAATGGAACGTGAACAAACATTTGGTTACTTTGGGCAACATTAACGTGATAACCATGTACATATATTTTTATCTGTGATTATCATTTATTTATTTTTAATGGTAATCTTGTTGTACCTCGTTGTAGTAGTATTTAAGAATAATTTTAAAAAATATACCATTTATTGAATGTATATCATCTTTACAAAACTCTCAGTGTAATACTTGTTTCATTATAATAATATAAATTAAGATGTGGATTCAAGTAAAATGTTTGTTATTATTATTTAAATATTTTTTCCACAATGGTAAATTCACATTATCTAATAAATGTTCAACTTATCTTTTGATTATTCATCACTATAATCTTCCTAGTTTTTATATTGTTATTGGGAATGATTCCTTGTTTCATTGCGGAACCTGGCGTTTCCCAAGAAAATGTGTCAAAAAGTGTAAATTCTAAAGATTGCTTAGATTTTCAATGATTGTTTTCTCACACCGAAATAGAAACAACTGCAATACCTACTTACCATTTTTCTCTGAAAAAATATTCACTGTGATTGTTATAAGCATCCCGGTAACAAATATTTTTATATATTAATGATGAAAAATATCAATGCAAAATATTATAAGTGTAGTGGATTGAGAGATATAGGTAGTTCAGCGATCACGTGGTTGTTATGATAAAGGCCTAAAACATTTCCTTTCTATTAATGTTGTTGTATGTAGTTCTCGATAAGTGTACAATAAAAAATTAGAATTTATCCATATAAGTACAAAGTTTATGATTTATTAATCCTTAGAGACCTATTCAAACCGGCAATGGGTGTTTTTCAAAACGCACCACTTCGTTTTGAAAGTCATAAATGAATCAAATTGGCAATCAAAGAGCAAATAAGGCTCAGTTCCTCCCATGTGTATTGAGTTCCAACGTGGGTGGAAATGGATAATACCTTTATTGCTTCCTTCCTATACAGTATGATGCAAATGTATGAAATAAATTGATTATTTCAGAAATGGACGGCATTTGGAAAAATTCCAAGACCACGTGACTTTTAATTTTTGAAGCCTCATCTCATGATATTCTTATGAGAGATGTTATGTCACCGTTGTTGGAGTAATGACGTGATGGACGATTTTTTCAAATACAACCAGGGTTCATGTCATGACACCTCGATTGAAAGGTCTACTGATCGTCTATCCAACAGTCGAAATTTTGCATAAGAAGATTGAAATGGATTATGATTTGATTAACTGAATCTTGCAGAGGTCTGCTACTGAGAATACATATACATCAATTAAAAAGGTTCTGAACTCTAGTTTTTGGATTTTTTTCGGAAGTAGTCGTGTTTTGTAATGAATTCATTCCATATGTATGAATAACTAGCTGTCTGGCCCTGCTTCGCACAGTTATTGGTGTATACCCATTTAAAAAAATGAGACATTTGTTGCAGTCCTTCTGAGCTATGCGCGTATATACATCAGTACATATTAGTTTTTTGTTATTTTTGAAGTTTTTTTGTGATTACCCGATAGCTACGATCATAATAATATAATTTCACCTATTTTCATCAACCTTTTTGTATTTTTATTGTTGTTCTACGTATTAAAAATTGCAACTCAATCGGTCAAGCCGTTTTAGTAGTTGACGTACCGATAGCAGCGCCACCTACCGCTTCCAATTGTATTCGTAAGTCATCCAGGAAACCATCGAAATACCCATATGGAATTTCAACCCAAGATAAATACAGAAGGATAATTCTTACCCTTTGTCCTAGTACACGTTTTTCCGTAGGAATGAAGCATTTTCATGTGGAAAAAATTAGCTTATGTTCATCAGGGATAATGGCGGCTTCTAATAGCTAAATAATTTTTCAAATCGGTCCAGTATTTTCGGTGCCTTTTCAATACAAACAAACAATCAAAATCAAATCTTTTCTCTTCATTATATTATTTGGCCCGGCTTTGACAAATACGCCAGTATGCATCAAGGGACCCTAGGTGTACCCATTTAAAAAAAATAAGACGTTTGTTGCAGCCGTACATTACATTTTTGTCGTTTTTTGTGCTTACCTATAATAATCTCTGCCTATAGCTACTATTATATACTTACACCTATTTTCATTCTCTCAGTATCTTTCGTATTTTATTTGTTGTTTTACGTATTAAAAATTTCAACCCAATCGGTCAAACAGTTTAGTAGTTGACGTACCGACAACAGCGCCACCTACCGCCTTCAATTGTTAAATCATCCATGAAACCATTGAAATACTCATATCATATCACACGTTTTCCCGTAATAATGAAGCATTTTCTCGCGCTAAAAAATAACCTATGCTCATCAACGATAATGTAGGCTTCTAATGGTGAAATTTTTTAAAATCTTTCCTCTGTATATTATCAGTATAGTACTTGGTTTACAAGCTGAATATCGTAAAAAACTCGCTCTAATCATGATATCAATAGCGTTGAGAATTTATCAAGAGGTATTTATTACCGCTAAGAACAGCCCAAACCAGAAGCAACTACAACTTTTATCCACGAAAACATACGAGTGGCAAACGTGGCTGTCAATGTCAAAAGTCAAAAACTAGTTTATTTCTTACCTAACCTCAAAGTTTTGATTCTGACTCGACACTCGACAGGGATTGAATCGGCTGAAATTAAATTCTTATCAGTTTTACCTATTTCAAATGATAATGAAACCAATGTATCGGTGATAAGAGGACAACCACGTTAGGTGTGCCTTCCATATCGAGGACAGTTCTAAAATGATACTCCGCATTCCAGAAAATACCTTATTCATAGGCTGGATCACAGTTTTCTTGACTACTATTCTTAAGGTAGAATGCTCTGGACAGTTGGTGTATGCCGTGAATTGTGGAGGTGATTCACACACCGATTCCTATGGAGTAAGGTATGAAAGAGATCCTCTGCATGGTAGAATCGGAATTGCCTCTGATTTCGGGAAAAGATTGCTCATCGGCAGAGTACCTGACAACGATCACATTCTATATCAGACCGAGAGATATCACACCAACACCTTTGGCTATGACATACCAATCAATTCAGATGGAGACTATGTATTGGTTCTGAAGTTTTGCGAAGTGTACTTCAATGCTCCTGATCAGAAAGTGTTTGATGTTGTGCTGAATGGTGATCATACCATAGTTGCTGATCTGGATATATTTGAGAAGGTTGGAAGAGGGGTAGCTCATGATGAATATGTTCCCTTCAAGATTTCCAAAGGTAAATAATCAGTTCCTCACTTATACCTTGCAATATTGTTTCATCACTGTTGATAGAAGTTCACTGACTATATTCATCATTGCATTTTCTACATGTCAAATAACCATAACCAAATCATATGGCATTGTATACATGAAGAGAATACCCTATAGAGCTTACCTCAGCCTCATAACTATTCAAGGTCACATGATCCTCATATCATTATGCATGTATCTCATATTTTTTAATAGGTAATTTTGCTTTCCACATAGGTAGATATTGGTACCTACCTCCTATTATTCCATCTATTCCCTAACTATATGAATTATTCCAAGATCCAACAAATGGACAGTACATTCCCTAATTTCATTTGTCTTTTTTCTTATACAAGCTAGTATTTCTTCTAGATCGCCTCCTCATAAATGGTGAAGATTCAGAAATAAGGGGAGGTAGAATTCGTGTAGAGTTCATCAAGGGATACAAGGATAACCCTAAAATTAATGCTATGTATGTTATCAAAGGCACTCTTGATGATATTGTAAAACTGCCACCCATTCCTATGGAACCCAGTCCCATTGAGGAAGCCAGAGAAGAACCTGAAGTCATTCCAAAATCTAGGAGGCCTAGTGGTCCCAAGCAACCAGATCCTTATACCATGGACGATTCTTCACTCATGTTGCCTATTTTTATAGCAATTGGAGCTTTCATACCATTATTGTTCTGTTTATGCAAGCTGTGATGGAATTGCTAGGTACTTAGTAATTTGTGATTTTTTGACTGTATAAACTTGATGTTGAAATACCTACTATCTTCTATTAGGACATTTACAACCCAATAAATAGAAGAATATAAAATATATATATGAATATAATATTAATTTAAATGAACAGTTTTATACAGCAAAAAATGGGGTAATTTTTGTTCTTCATCATCAGTTTGTTGGGAATCAAGATATGACTAATTTCCAATTTGACAGGTGATACATAATTATCACTTGAAGATTTGTGGTCGGTCAAAAACTTGTATTGTGGGAAAATTTTCAGATAACTGACAGTATTATTGTTTTGGAATAAACTTACTGTTAAACTTCCGTACTTAGGTTTTTTGTGTAATTCTGATAGGATTTGTCTTTTATGGAATAGGATATTGTTATTGAGACTTAGAGCAAATATAAGACTTTGGGATAATAAATAATTATTTATTATGTTTCACATTTGTTTTATTTATCAGCGAGTTTTTCAGTTACAATAATACATTCAGTGCAACATAATTTATTCATGAAATATATATACATTCGGAATTCCGATACAAAACGCTATAGGTAGGTATACCTACTTACAGTACAGTCTAGAACACCTATAGGATTTATGTTTTTTTCACAAAAATATACAAATTACATCACATATTCAATAAATATATACACATACATTTACACAACAACATATAATCAGTAAATGGCCTAGGAACGCCTAGGAAGGTATTCTAACAATACAATGAATACTTATGCCTACAAACATTTCCATCAATTCCATAAAGTAGATACCCAAGACACAGTTTCCTAAGATGCCCATTCAAATGTTTCAAGACGACTCTCGCCACCTAGCGGAATTTTGGTGAAATTTCGTCTAGAAATCTAAATGTCAAATCGCCAACGTTTGATTATATGATTTTATGTTCAGTGGCATAGAATGCGAAGGTTTTCCTTATTCTGCTTCTTCATACCTCTATGGCTATAAACCACGTGTTACTTATCCCCTTGGCCAATTTACCTCATCGCACAGTGTGTCCAGTTTTCGTTGGCTTTTGCGCAATATCTCGGTCATATTTGGAGATAGAGTGTTGCGGATTTCACATTACTGCTCTACTTCTTTTGTGAGACGAATAATGCCGCGAACAGAATTTTCACAGTTCTTATTCATATGTTCTTGAAAAACTTCAACTTTCTGTTTGGCTTTCATTTTGCTTCCACGGCCTACTCGGTGAATTTCAATAATAATTTTTTTCTGATCTAGTTTCTGGTTAGATACCAACTTGTGATATGTCATTAGAAAGGGAATTGAATGCTGAATAAAGCGAAAAAAAAAAAAAAAGGGTTTCTATTTGAAATAAGAAAGTTGATGTTACTTCCGGTCAGACCGGAAGTTAACTTCGACATGTCAATATGCTCAAATTCTAGCTCTTATGTCATTATATCGACGCTCCAAATTTCACAAACCTACTTCATACAATAAATGAGATATTCCGTAGGCAATACTTCCGTAGCCACCCGGTATATCTGTGATATAACTGTGTTCGCGGGGGTAGAACGATCATCCCTAACAACACGGGATCTTGCTGGTACATTCCGCTAAGGTCCTACAAATGTCCCAATGTTTCAGACTTAGGTACGATATCCCAGAGATGTTTCTCTTGGGACATCCATCAGATGTTTCCAGTGGATGTTCTAGAAACATCCCATTTAATATTTTTTTTATGAACAATATCATGGTTCCATATTTGCCAATAATGATTGACATGATTGAACAGTTCAAACAATTGTGACATTTGAAACATCGAAAAGGTGGTAAAAAATGGAAATCAAAACTGTATTCGTACTCATATACCTATACCAAAGCCAGCTAATTTCATCGATAACAAATTGAAATAATTAAACTAAATATTCCTCAATAAAATTACCAAAGTACCTGCTTGACGTCATGAATCATGTAATAAACGACAAGATTGAAATATATCTCTTCAGCATATTTATTGCTGAATTCATTTGTTTTACCAGCCGATAGATGGCGGTTCAACTACGTTGTCAAGAGTTACTAACAGCCGTCGGCCCAGCGCCAACAAATATGAGCCTCAAACATCTGTTATCATCTTCCATTAGTTAATGGACCGCACCGACCTTATATTCTCGGATTCGGATTGTTACTTTATATCTGGAAATGGTTCGGTCATTTTCAGGACTCAGATTGAAAATAATTCATATCGTGTCATCCATTACTGTCATCAAACAAGAAACATCCTGAAAGTTTCTTTAAAATGTTTCATTTCAAGTACCCTGAATGTCTCTGGTACATCCCGTTTCATCCCACAAACATTCTGATGGGATGTTTATAAGACATCGCAAATGCTGACACGGGTGTTGCCAGCAACATCCCAAGAATGTCCCAAGGAAAATAAGGATTTTCCCGAGATGTTCCTATCATCCCATAGGGATGTTTCTACGACGTCTTACAGATGTTATTGTGTTATTAGGGATGATTTATATTAATATGGTCCTGATTATGTATTCACAGATTTTCATCGCAATGTTTTTTCGAAATTCCAAATTCAAATTCTTGAACGATCATGATTTTTATTAATATGGTCCTGATTATGTATTCACAGATTCTGAAAACTCCTTATTTTCATCGCAATGTTTTTCGAAATTCCAAATCCAAATTCTTAATCATTTTATGATTCACATTATGATGTCAAATGATTCCGTTTATTACATATAATGGGCGAGTGGACTGATAATGAATTATTAGCATTCGCAATTACTCCACTGCAAGTCGTTAGGAACTAAATTAATTTTTGCAACACTTCCCAGGCAACCAGATGACGTTCCAGTGACGTCTTTTTTACGTCACTTGAATGACCCAGGTGACGTCAGTAGTTGACGTCGCATTGACGTGACAATGACGTGAATATGTCACAGCCCAATGATGCATATTTACTCACGTCGTATTGACGTCATTCACTCACCAAACTGTGACGTACGACTGACGTCATAATGACGTCAAAATGACGATTGAATTTGGCGATGATACGTAAATAAGATTCCTTTAACATGGTGTGATAAACACCACTAGCCTCTGACGACATTATATAATATTGACTATTGCATTGTTGAGTCTGCTTGGTGGGTCCCTCCTGTGTGTCATGTTCATTCAATCGCCTATTCAGCAGCGCCATCCTTCAGTACGCATCTCCATCAAAATGCAATCACTTACTCGAATTTGTATCAAAAATTATGTAGTTTGTGTCGGCGAGATGTAAGCGAACAAAGAATATAGTTTGATAGCAATGGAAAGGATGTTGGCGAATTTGGCTTCACTTTGTTAAATAATGTATATTGATGCATCCTTTGTCACCCAACAAAAATCTGAATAGCAAATAATTAAAAAAATTCCTAAATGACGAAGCTCACCAAATTGGTACGTCACACCGACGTGATTTTTAGACGTCATAGATACGTCACTGCAACGTCATAAGAAAAAAGGTTTCAATATAGGTATACCTAAACAACATAAACATGTTTATATATACATAGCTTTTTGGTTTCCTAGATAAACAGTGTATCAAAGTTTGTTAGAAAAAAGTGTTTCTACTACTTTTCGGGTATATCAATAATTAGAATAAATTTTGCATGTTGATTTGCTTTCATGAGTTATACTTCTGTTTCACATGATAATATATACTTAAGTTTAGAGAAGGTCTGGGAAAAATGGACGTCGACAGGACGTTCCTGCAACGTCATGAAACTGACGTCTTCTTTTACTCATTAAAGTGACGTACACTCGACGTCAAAACGATGACGTGATTATCACGTCATAGAAATTACGTCATAGTGACGTCATAAATCGGTGTGTGACGTCTCTGACGAAAAATCACCAATTAGGGAAGTCACAGTGACGTGATCATTCGTCATCTGGTTGCCTGGGTTCTCACGCTTTTTTTATGTAGATAATGAGTCTATATGCGATGTTCAAAATTGTTGAATTTCAGAGCTCATTTCAAACGAACCGTCATGGCCGCAATTTGGCGATATTTCGAATAAAGGGTGATGTCAATTTTCATGCTGTAATGTGAACCAAACTCGAACAAGAGTTGAAAAAGTGACAGGGCGAACAATTTGCCAACATTTTTTGAAGGCCGTTTTTTTTGCCGGCAAGTGTAGGTATTCAAGACATTTTATAAATATCTATTTCAGCTACCGATACGACAACTGTCACTGAGACTCCTATTCAAATGTCTCTCGTTCCTGAATATGTCTACAACCTGTAGAGTATCCAGACCCTTTCGCGACCCATTCGCACCTGATTTCACCCTGTTGGGCTCGAACCCATTCGAAGGGTAACCCTGCAAGCTGATCCTGTCCCTTTCCACGTAATAAAGTCCTATGGAGATTTGCGGGGAAGAGTTGGACAGCGATCTCTTGTGACTAGAAGGAATGTGTTTTGGTGATTTGGTGAAGCAAGTTTCTAGCTTGCAATCGTCTTCGAGGCCGTAGTCGTGGTAGGGCAACGTTTCTTCCTCGTTGAAACCGTCATCAGACTCGTCGTCTTGTGCTGAACCCTGAAATCGAAAAACCTATGTTTCATAATAGAAAACAAGAATTATAAACATTATTATACAGTCTGTCCAAGATAAGGTTGCACAGCATGGCGATCTCGGAAACGGTAGGAGATACGAAGTCGGTTAAATGGAAAAAAAGTTGCGCATTCGGAGGCTCATACCAACAGCCTTCGAAAATTTTTAAAATTTCTTTCAGTTTTTCAGTTATACCGAAAAAAGTGAATTTTTGGAACCTTTATTTTATTTTTTTTTCTCCGTTATTATTAGAGATAGGAAAACTGAAAATACTTTTTCATAGCAACTTTTGATGACGTTTAACGTGGTGATACCGATTTTTCTATGCGACGTTTCGTATTCGTAGAACCATCATAAACTTTTGTTTTTTGAATACGGCCTTGATAATTCTTTCACAGATTCTGAAAGCTTTTTTTATTCTGAATTCAACCATGCATTATACAAGGTGGTTTGAATGTGTTTCGAACTATTTTTAGCCATCATCAATGTTTTTTCGAAATTCCAAAGGAAAAATGCCATCAGTTCCATTTATTTCGAAGGGAAATTAGCCAAAAAACTAATACCTCATCAACTAGTTCCGATTGATAGACTTATAGGAATAATTAGTTCGAAAAATTTAATTATGACAAGCTCCTTCGGATTAAAATATGAATACAATTCATAAACAATTCGAAGCGCTGCATTGAATAATTAAGCGGATTTTTTTTTCACTTTTCAGCATTGAATAACTAGTCCATCAATGTTTGACACTGAATAATCAGAAATAAGTGGAACTGATGGCATTTTTCCTTTGGAATTTCGAAAAAAACATTGATGATGGCTAAAAATGGTTCGAAACACATTCAAACCACCTTGTATAATACATGGTTGAATTCAGAATAAAAAAGCTTTCAGAATCTGTGAAAGAATTATCAGGACCGTATTTGAAAAACAAAAGTTGGTGATGGTTCTACGAATACGAAACGTCGCATAGAAAAATCGGTATCACCACGTTAAACGTCATCAAAAGTTGCCATTAAAAAGTATTTTCAGTTTTCCTGTATCTCTAATAATAACGGAGAAAAAAAAATAAAATAGATATTCCAAAATTTCACTTTTTTCGATATAACTGGAAAACTTGAAACAATTTTGAAAATTTTCGAAGGCTGTTGGTATGAGCCTCCGAATGCGCAACTTTTTCCCCATTTAACCGACTTCGTATCTCCTACCGTTTCCGAGATCTCCATGCTGTGCAACCTTATCTTGGACAGACTGTATAATCTATATAGTAGAAGTCAATGCATGGTATCTCAAAGTTTATAGTACATGGATTAAGTAGTAGAAAACACTGAGACATCTTCACAATTCTTCAATGAAAATCTTTTACGATTCCAGGACATGTTTCGAACCTATATAGGTTCTTCTTCAGCTAAATGCAAAAATTTCGGAGAAGAAAGAAATGTTACATCATTGTAACATCAACATCGAATTAATGGGCTCAAAATAGGGGCCGCTCAAAAGGGCTGGATTTGAAAGAGGAAAACCCCAAAGTCTGAAAAAGGGAAATAATAGGGTTTTCAGTTCCAGCAGCAAGAAGTACTTCTTGTTCTCAACTCCAAATTGTTCTCAAATTTGTTCTCATATCTATAAAAGGTGTTCGAATTTCAAGATATCGGCTGATGATGGGGTTATTTGAATGGGACACCCTGTATATTATTCAATTTTGAGGTTTTTCCTGGAGAGCCGATTTCATCAATGCATCATACTTGGGGTCTAGCAGAAATGATTACAGAGATATTGGGTTTTCGAGAACAAGATTTTTAGATTTTTCAATTTTAAGTTTTTTTTTTTTGTCGAAACTATATTCATTATTGGTCGAAACGGCTTGCATATCCCCTTCTTAACTTTCGATTTGATATCTACTGACATTTAATTGGAACAAATACAGGGTGGTTCAAGATTCAGAATTCTGATCACCCTGTAGCTGTTCCAAATAAAATTTGAAAAATGTTGATTTCGAACACCCTGTATCTCTGTGATCATTCCCGCTAGACCCCAAGTCTGATTCATCGATCAAATCAGCTCTTCAAAGAGAATCTGAAAATGCAATAATATACAGGGTGTCCCTTTGAAAAAAACATCATCAGCTGATATCTTGGAATTCCAACACCCTATGATATGAAAATATCAAAATAATTTCCTGTGATAACTCCTATGAAACATCTGTTCTATTCGAATTCTTCCTATATATTTGACGATTTGGCTAATATCGAAGGAGAACACACTATCACCCTGTAGATAAAAATCCCAAATTCATATTTCATGTGTGAACCAATGAACATGGGAGTGAGATTACATTTTTTACTTTTGTACACACGAAAGATGACTGTATCCACATGGTGATGAAGGAAATTCAAATTTTATTGCACATTCTGTAGAAAATATCAGAAGAGCTCATTGAGTTTGGTTAACGAATGACAAAGAGTTCACTTTGTTGAGACCTCTATAGTAATATACGTCAACATGACGTCATGAAACATGACGTCATTTTTAGGTCTCTCTGTAGTCGAGGAGTCATGGACCAATTATGATCTGAAAAAGAAGTCATCATGACGTCGTTCCACTAACTCAACTTTTTCTAACGGAATTTACTATTTTTTCGACACCATATCAAAGAAAATTGAATTTGAGGATGAGTTAACCTCATTCAAACCAAATCGACGATACATTTTCCTCACTGTATACGGTGGTATTGTTGCAAGGAAAAAATGTTGAGCCATTGAACATCAAAAGCAGGATCGAAGACTTCGCATCTGATAGTTGGGTAATTGCAGGTGCTTGAAGAAGCAAGAGATATCTCTGCAAGATAAGGCATTCAACAAATTTGGTGCTCTAATTTTGAACTGTTTGAGGGATTCAAATATTTTTGTAAACTACGGAAGTAATTAATTTCGGAAAATTCTACATATCTTGAAGAATGTGTTGTCTAAACTGAAAATTAAAAGGCCAATCCAACCGTGTAAAAAAAATGTTTACCTTCATCAAAATAACAAAAACTTATTGTTCAAGTGCTGGATTCAACTTCCATTCTGACCAATTTTGGCTCCAGTATCAGTTGATTGAATGAATGCTTCTGAGTTGAAAAAAAAAACAGTATTGTGTAGCTCATTCCAAATATATTACGAAATACCGAAACGTATGATACGGGATAGTGCAAGATCCTGAATATCTGGAGGTATTTGATTCGAATACCTACGAACCCGAATCACTTTAGTCATCTATTTCTTGGATTCATATCAAAATGATTATATCCATCATCCAAATTGAGGTGAGTATACTTGATATCTGAATGGATTCTTCGGAAATATTACGTTGTTGACTATATAATTTTCTTACGGGCTCTCCTAATGGGTAAATGTTCAAGAAATAATACTTTCAACACAATCACCTTGATAATCGAATTGAAATCACTGGAACTCCTAGGCCTATACGGAGTAGCAGGCCGAATCATCAAGCAGCATTTCTCGTGATTCAACGAATCCACAGACTTGAGCGAATCACTCGACGACACGGAGTTCTCCGAGATATTCCATATAGCATGATTGATCTCGCCAGTAGTAGCAGCTGCAACCACAGCCGAGCTCTTCACAATAGTGGAAATCTTCTCCGGAACAATGAGCTTCACTCTCCCCGATGGCTTGTTCCCAAGGCTGGTGAGATTGCAAGTAGACGCACTGCAAGCCCTTTTCCTCAGCTTGGAATTGTAATCGCGAGCGTTCTTGGACACTGGCTCGCAATAACTGGTGCGGTCGAACAAGGTCAAGAAGAAGTTCTTCAGCGCCGCGCGGAAGTCCTTCAAGTGGTAAGCGTACAATAAGGGGTTGCCTGCGGAGTTTAGATGGGATAGGATGATGCTGCACAGCATGACGGTGGATGGGACGTAGAAGTCCGGGTTGAAGGCGATGATGCAGTTGATGGTGTACAGGGGGAACCAGCAGATCATGAAGAATAGGACGATGATGGCCAGGTTCTGGGTGGCTTTGACTTCGTTGGTTTGTTGGACGCCTAGGACTCGTATCATGCCACTGGAGAGATCGCCTCTGATGGAGCCCTTTTCTGGGTGCATGGTTACGATGTTTCTCAACTGGAAATAATAGGAAGTTTCGTCAGATTTTGCAAACTCTAAACAAAAATAGGACGTATGAAATCGAAGTGCGGAAATTAGGTTTTTGTCCATATCATCAATAAAAAAAAGGTTTCAATAAACAAGATTTTATAATAACTCTACAAAATGGCGCATATAAGACGGAATAGTTCCATAGATCATTCAGTTAGCCCTAAATATCCTCATTTTCAACAATGCAATAATCATGCAGAAAAGTAACTTTTCAGCACTAGTGCGGCAAAGTAACTTTTCTGCACGATTTTATTGATTTATTGTACGGAGAAGTGGAAATCGTGCGTAAAAACGCGCTCATAGGAAAAAGACATTTTCCGTTAGGTACAATGTTTTTCCTACGAGTGTTTTTGTCCATTTCATTCAAAGGAAAAAAGGTTTTAATGAAGAAGATTTTATAATAATGCTACAAAATGACACAAGAAAGAATAGTTACATAGATCATTCAGTTAGTCGTTAATATACTAATTTTCAACAATACCAAAATATTGAGAAAACTAAATTTCCAGCACCAGTGCGATAAAGTACTTTTTCCACACGATTCAATCCATTTATTATCGGAAAAGTAAAAATCGTGCGGAGAAGTAAAAATTGTGCGGATAAGTTGAATCGTACAGGAAGGAATTTATTACTGCAAATGGACACGCAAATTAAATAATGAGTGTGATAGAATAAGCGGAATAATATCGTTTTGATTGAGGTGGAACAATACGTGCTAGCTGCTAAATGGCTTGATTTATTTAGCCTACCATAATTCGAATGTGCAAGATGTTCTTCAAACCTAGGATCGATGGATCTCCTTGTTTGGCCTACACTCGAACGAGTCTATTCCATTCTGGAATCACCGAGAATGAATACGACATCAGTTTTTTTTTCATTCTGACGAAAATTTTAACAATTCTACAATATGTTCATTAGAAAACCAGCTTCGAAATATTCAAAGCTTTGAAAATTTTTATTGGTGAACTTGCCTGTTTGAGGACCACTTGATAGATGTGAGTGTAAAAAGCGGCGAGAAGCAATGCAGGAGTGACTATGGTACCGAAGTAGAGGAACACCAAGTAGTTGGGTTGCATCACGTTGAGGAAAAAGCAGTAGTCGTCTCCAGGTTCTTTGTGCCATCCGAGAAGAGGAAGGAATCCCACCATAGTACCGGCAAACCAACAAATGCTAATTATAACTGAAAAAAAAAATAGATTCTCAAATTTCAGTTTTGATTATTCCTCAGTTGATTCAAAGTTAATTTGTCAATTTGACATTTTTAACGTCTACTCATTCGAGATCCTCGAAAGATCGAGATCAAAATTCTTGTTTAATTTTTTCACTGCAATCAAATGCGCGAAATAGTGCATATTCAGATTGGGCAGGCTGGCAACAACATCGGCAGCAAAGTAAGTACCTCTGCATCTTTCTTTTATAATTCACAATTTAGTAATGAAGTACCAAAAAACGTGCTTACTGTGCCAAAAATATTGTGTTTTTCACGAATAATTATTGAACGGTGAATGATATGTATTCGCCTGAGAAGTATGTTCAATTTTGGCTCTTTCTTTATGCAACTGTTAGAGTCAATCTGAAGTAGATATGGAGAGAGTATTTTATTTTTGAAATTGGCAAAGTATCCAGACAACTAGTGGTTACTTTGCCATGTGATGTAAAGTATATATAAAAATTCATTTTTGGCAAAGTTGATTCTTCGGGTGAGATACTTTTTTGTCATCCATCCATGAGTATATAACATGGGCTTCAAAACCAGAACATTTTGATTAAAATGCGTCTTAATGTGTCTAACATCTGATGAATCCCATATCTAGTCTCCATCTTCAACAAAACTAATAAAGAATTCAATATTTTATGAAAATGATTTATCGAATTGAAAAAAAAAAACAGAAAATTAAAAAAAACTGTGGAAATTAGAGGAGTGAAGGGGCACCCATATTCAGCAAACAGGAAAGGTGACTATATTTACCAGTATGACGTTGCTCCGAAGTTTCATAATTTCTCGCAAAAACTGCAAAAAACCGCACCCAAAAAAGTTGGGGCGATTTAACCTTCCACCCCTCACAGTTTGACCTTTTTCTGGATGACATTTTGAAATTATTATTGCATATTACTAGACATAAAAAGATTGGACGACTTGCGAAATTCCATAATCCTCCTCTATCAACAGTTTCGAAGATATAGAATGAAAATCAAAGTGATGTCATTGTCCGTGAAGCAATGAAGCATCTTGGATTTATAATGAGAATGAGCAAAAACTTTCAAAACCTATCAAATATTTTATCATTGTATAATGCTATTGTTAGACCAATATTGGAGTTTTTCACTATAGTCTGGAATCCATTTCATATTAAATACACTTCACGTAATGAAATAGTGCAACATAAGTTGATGAATTTCATAAACTACAAATTTAACAAGCATCGTCACTATTATTCGTATAAGTCAAACTTTTTATAATCTCAACTCCTAAGAAGATAGGACATTATTTTTTTATTGTTATTTTCGTTTACAAACTGGTCAATAATATGGTCGACTCTGAATATTGTCTTCAGTATTTTGAGTTCAATTGTAACCATTTCGGTCTTCGTAATAAAAATATAGAATATAGGTATAGATCAAACTACTTATTGAATTCGCCATCAATGCTGCGTTGTACCACATACAATAATCTTGTCAGGAGTAGTCAGGATATAGACTTTTTCTGCCAGAATCCCAGTTCGTTTAAACGAATTGTAAAATTATATATTTTTCTCTCAAATCAGTGTAAAATCATATAACACTATAACTGTCACATCAAATTAAATTGCTAAGTAGTCAATAGTTGTAGTATAGACTTTCGATTTGAAAGTAGGTATTATATTTTTGGTACTGATAGCGGCCCTGTAGTACTGTTGGGCAGCCAAAATACTAAATAGATAAATAAATAAAAACCATCTTCAGGGTAACACCTTCAGGTCGATGTAGCTCGCTCATGAAACATCATTTTAGATCGTATAATCGGCTGGTGGAGTATTGCACGCTAATTATGCTACACCCTGTATTGAATAAACTTCTTTTACCAATTTCATCTCTCTGAGATCAGATTTCATCGACAAAATTGAACTAACCTCTGGAATACATTCACCAAACATGTTGTATTCGAGAACGTGTTGATTCGTAAAGAGATAAAGTAGTTTGGGAAGAAAAAGTTGTTCCATCCAAAACTTTGACGATTGTTGTGAACTATAGCGAATTAAGAACATGTCGACGAAATGTTGCACTATGTTGCACTTGTTGCACATCGATGCTCGAAAGTTTTTTAATCAAATTCTAGTGGTAAAGATTTTTCAAGAAAATGGAGGGTGTCGTGTAATGTTTCTGTAATTTCTAAATTCGATATTATGCCAGATACATGAGCTTCTAGATCAGCTTAGATATCAGCTTCAATTCAGTTATAATAAGTCCATTGAATAACGTAGTCGTGAAACATATTCATACATATACCGGGTGTCCCATTTTAATCTTTATTTGGAAATTTCTCGAAATGTATGCATCTGACAAAAAAAATTGCCGAATAAAAGTTGTATGGTTTGGAGGGGGACGTCTGGTTATAAAACAAGTTTCACCCCCTGACCCCCAGGGGAGTGGGAAATGGAGGTAACATTGAAATCTTCAATAGAAAGCCCTATTTTTTATTGCTGATTCTGGAAGAGCATTAAAAACTATGGAGCTTTTATTCGGGAACTTCTTTTTTATTTTCACAAGATGGCGCTGCGATCTTGAAAAACAATATTTTACTATTCAGTTTGTAGTTGGCCACCCAGATCACCCGACTTGACTTCCCCAGACTTCTTTCTGTGAGGTTACATCAAAAACATTGTGTTTCGCGAACCCCCAACCACACGCGAGAATATGAAAGGATAGAATTAGAGGAGCGTGCATGGCTTTAACGCCTGCTATGTTGGAAGCGACAGTGCGGAATTTTGAAAAACGAGTGAACTTGTGTATATTCAAGAAAATGGAGGTCATTTCGAACACTTGATAAAGTAGTCAATCTCACTTAAAACCAGCTTTAGTCTCACCTAAATGATACCTTAATTGCTGAACCATGCTTATTTTTCTCTTTTCTATGTAGAGGTGTCAAGGTGAGTAAATTCGTTTAGCGGTAATTTGTCGTGTGAAAATCACCCCAATGGCGTTTGTCTGGGAAAATATCACACCCTACACTCTTCCTCGTCTTCAGGGGGTTGAAATGTGTAAATAGTGAAATATAGTTTTTTACGATCGCAGCGCCATCTTGTGAAAATAAAAAAGAAGTTCCCGAATAAAAGCTTCATAGTTTTTAATGCTCTTCCAGAATCTGCAATGAAAAATAGGGGTTTCCATTAAAGATTTCAATGTTACCTCCATTTCTTACTCCCCTGGGGGTCAGGGGGTGAAACTTGTTTCATAACCAGACGTCCCCCTCCAAACCATACAACTTTTATTCGTCAATTTTTTTTGTCAGATGCATACATTTAGAGAAATTTCCAAATAAAGATTAAAATGGGACACCCGGTACCTATAAGGACTGTATAGTTTTCTGGCATAGTATAATCGTATACGACTTCGAAAGTTCCATAACCGTTCTAACAATCTATAATATCGAAGACTAGATGTACCCTGCTGTTCCCAGCGTTACTACGCTACTAACTAAAATGAATTTGAAGGAAAGACACTACACAAATATCGAATTTATTTCGAGTCATTTTATTGATTTTAGCTGAGCCTGTACAGGCCATACATTATATTTACGTTATTTTTTATGGAGAAAAAACGAACGATATGAGGAAGTTGAATGCCGCAATGAGGCCTTTCCACAGCCCTTATCAGAAGTTTTACAAGGTGATCCCTAGAAGCGTGACAAAACACAAATGGATTTTTCTAAATGAAACACCCTGTTTTTTATATTTCTTTCGGAATCTGTA